TGACAAGGACATGGACAGATAGCGCACATCAAGCAGCGTCACAGCATCCAGACCACAACTGCATATGACGGCTAGTTTTCAGTCTATGCTCTTGTTTTTTTATTGCTCTGGTTTCTGTGATGCCTCGTGCCTTTTGTAAATGCTCATATGGTCTGTATTTTCCATAATTTATTTCAGGAAGCCTTTGAATGTTTGTTAAGTGCCTCATGAATAAACATGTATGTTGCTGTCCATGCTCTGCTGAAGGCTGTTGTTGCGTCAATAAGACGAACGTGGAGGTGCAGCCGGATTGCTCTCTTGCTCCCTCCTCCGTCTTCGGCGGTGATGCTAGCCTCGGAGCCGCCTGGCCGCCCTGCCTGGGATGGATTTAGAAGAAGCTTTCCATATTGTCGGCGAGTTTGGACCCTACCAGAAGCGAGCGGTGGCTGTTCTCGTCCTGACACAGGTTGGAGGGTTTAAAAAAATGCTCGTTAGGAAAGAAACGAGCATTGCTGGAAGTGTCCGTGCGGTCGCTAGCCGCTCCGGCAGCGGTAGCGCGACGTGGCTTTCAGCCGCATCCGGAAGCATTGTGTTAAGCTTTTTACTGTGAAAATATCACATTCACAGCCTAATTCTGAATGCATCTCGATAACATTCCAATGCTTAAACATTCTAATGTTTGAGCTGTTTAAAATTAAGCTAAGTACGAGAGCAGCCATGTCGCTTTTTAGAGTTAAAAACTTATCACCAGACTTCCTTCAAAAAACATCGGACATAGTGTCTCCTTGTTCGTGTGCAAGTTTACAGACACCTGCAACTTTCAAGTCGCATATTTGACATATCTATGTGACCTGCTCTTCAATTCGGCACTACAAGCAAAGCTCATTTCGTTAAATTAATCGTATCAAAACCTTTTATTGCCGTGTTAGCTATCCGCTATAGTAGCAGTCCACGCGATGCGCCGGATGCGGAGCTGCTTTGGATCAAGTCGGATTTTTTCACATTTATCGACAGTTAATAGCTCATAAACATGTCAAACCAATGCCGAATTTACCACAACAGTCCACGTATTGCTAAATAGTTTGAGTATTTCCTCAAATTGCGGGTATTGTTACATATAACAAAGTTAACCGCAAACGCCCACATATTTAAAAGAAGTTCGTCAAAGCGTCCAGGGGGTTAAGCTAGTCCTCTGTCTAGCTCGGTGGACGCTGGTACATGTCACCCGGTTTAAAGGAATAACTAATGCTTCCATAACTTAGATTCTATTTCCATGACGAGGTTTGGTTTTCTTTTACGTGTGTTTGCCATTTTTGATTTCCATCTCCACAGTGAATCATTTGTTGTGGTATTGATTAGCTGACCGTGTGGAGCTCCATAAGTCCCCTTAAGACAGATTAAAGGGGTTATCATGGGCATTTCTTTATGCTCATAGTTTAGCAGAGTATTAAATATGGCCTCTCTCAACATGGGCTTCAGTCCTGAGTCATCTAACGAACCCTTTTCTCACCGTGGTTCTGATCTGAGGTGGACCAACGTGTACATGGTGTTCACCAAGGAAACAGCAGCCAGGTAGAGTCACACCTCAAACAGCAGCTCAGTCTCCTAAAACTGCAGGTGGCCGTTTGCTGTTGAACTCACTGGTTAAAATCCTAAATGAATGTTTGTAAATGCCTGAGCATGAGCACACGGGTCAGGATTCAGTCAAACAGAACCTGTTGACATCCTGATGCCTCCTGGGCCGAGCCGCTCAGAAGCAGTCTGAGCAGATTGGATCAGGTCTTGACGGAAGATTCTGAAATCAGATCACATAATCCAGACTTGGTTTGGATCTGGACACAACCTTAGTGTGTGCTGTTGAGGACTTTCTAGTACCTGTGACCCGACAAATCAGGTGATTTCAACGTCTGGATTTAAAATTGCTTAAATATTTAGAATATATTGAACTGTTTTTGTTATGTGATAGGTGGAGCTCTGCAGGGATACAGTCGGCACTAGGCTACCGTTCAAACAGTGATCCTAACCCACAAACAATATGTTTAACTGTAACTGTCATTTATGGCTGTATAGGATGATTGTGTTGCAGCAGAGCTTCAGGCGCTCTCCTCTCCACACAGGAAGAAGAAGTGGAACGACTGAGCTTTTAGCCTTTGTCTGATTTAAAACACAAGCTGTCTGCAGTGTGTTGGTGAATAATGCTCCCGTGTTGGGCGCTGACTGAAGGTTTCTGTGCTGCTTCAGTCGTACTCTGAGTGACTCCAGGCTGCCTGTTGGACCTGCTGGTCTTCATATTGTCATACAGAGTCGCATTTACTGCAGCGGTGATCTTGAAGAGCTTGACGCTGGAAAAACGGGTGCAAACGTTGAGACTGCGTGATGTTGTGGTGGAGGGCCGATCCAGCTGAGACGTTTGAAACAGCAGCTGTTGATACCACGCTGACGGCTGCAGTAGCGGTGATGGTAATGCTTCTGCATCCATTTGCTGCATGTTTCAGGTGTACATGGCCTGTCAGTCCATGCTCATCGTTCTGGTTGGATCGACTCCAGAGTACCGGATCGAGCAGCAGGACGTGGTCCCGTCGAGCCAGCAGTCAGTCGCCTTCACCGAGGACATCGACTCCATAGTGACCGAGGTGAGGGAGCCGGAGTTTGTTTTCAGGCTGAATGCAGCTCGTTTGCTCGTCTGTTTCACCAAACCTCCGCCTGTTTCCACCTGGTCTTGTTCCCCAGTGGTTCCTCGTCAAGCAGCAGGCCTATAAGGTCAGTCTTGCTGGATCGCTGTTCTTCGCGGGGCTTCTGGTCGGGAACGTTGTTTTTGGGCCGCTCTCTGACAAGATTGGAAGAAGACCCGTTTACCTGACAGGTGAGGAAAACCACAGACGGTGAAGGAGACTCAAAGGAGAAACAAACAGTTTGTCTTTATGTCCACCGGGGTGGAAACCTGAAGCGCTCGCTGCTTAGTTTCTCTCCACTCGTCCTCATCTCGCCAGGTCTCTTTTTTGAGGTGATCTTCGGCTATGTGACCGCCTTGGCGCCCAGCTACGAGGTCTTCGCCCTGTCTCGCCTCCTGGTCGGGCTGATGAACGGCGGCATCGGCCTCGTCTGTTTCGTCCTCACTCAGGAGTACGTGGGCAAGTCCTACCGGGCCATGACCGGTACGAAGCCCCACAATAAGCCCATCATGCATCAGCTTATATTGTAGCTTCACTGCTGGCAAATAAGTGCAGAACTTTCCCTCGATTAGATATTTTAGATGTCTGTGAAGGCTGAAACAGGTCTGCTCTGTTGATGTTCTTTTAACTTGAGCACCAGGTTTAGGGTCATAAAGGATCGTTTTATGCTCAGATATGACTCGGCAGTGCCTCTGTTTGTGCTCATGTCTGGCTACAGTCGTGTGTTTGGACTCGAACAAACAAAATGACTGTTTCAGGGCCAAAACCTGTGATTGTTTTCACCTCGGTTTACCCCTAAATGCCCTTCCGGTACTGCTCTTTTCTTCAGGGACGTTGACCAGCATGACGTTTGCGGTTGGCATCGCCCTGTTCGGAGCTCTGGGCTACTTTATCCGGCCGTGGAGGAACCTGGCCACGGCGGCCAACTCATCCGGCGTCCTGTTCTTCCTGCTGTCCGTGTGAGTGCAAACATCAGCCTGATGAGGAGCTCCATCTGAAGCCAGGCAGTCGTTTTGTTTGGCTCATTGTTGTCTGCAGCATCAAGTCCTGCAGCTCTGTGGAAACAGAACGGCCAAGAAGGAGAGAGAACTCAGAGACGTCTTCTGTGCTCAAGTTCTACATAGTTTTGTTTATTTATGTATTATTTTACAAAAAACAATAGTCAACATGTCCAACATTCATGTGTCTATAAATATGATCAGTGCTGGAAAAAATGGTGACCCTACATACTAGAGATATTTTATCCATATATATATATATATATATATATATGTATTTATATATATACGCTGCCAGTTCAGCCAAAGAGTCCTGCAGTTTTTGTCACATGACGGTGACTCGTTGAAGAATTCAAGATTGTGCTGCTGTATGTAGAGTTTTTAGTTTTTTGCAGAATCTGCTTTTAACAGGTGAATTTTTAAATGGACACAGATTAAGAGTCATGATTTAATGATCACTTCTGGTTCCGTTTTCCAACCAAGTGGGGCACCACAGGTGAGCAGTGGATGCCTGTCGGAGGTTTACAGTCCGACTATTCTTCCTTTTTCCACAGTTTTTCTCATTTTGGCTAAAGTTAGTAGAGTTTGTAAAACACGCTCATTCAGTACTTTGGGTCTCTGTGTTTTTTTCCCTCTGCAGACATTTAAAAGTTTTAAGAGCAGTTTAGGTGCTGGTTCCACAAAGACAAAAAGAGCACGAGAAGCAAATGCCCACATTTCTGGCTCCGGTTCTGTTTGTGAAAGACGATTAGAGAGCCGTTCTTTCTCAGATCGTTTGAGTGTTTCCTCGATATGGTCGAGTGCACAAACCGGAGCAGTGTGGTGGTCAGCTGTAGAGAGCGGCTTGTTGTTGTTCTCACATGTCTGTGATGGTACCTCCCTCACATGCTCTGTATTGTAGAGAAGCTGAACTTGTAGGAGTGACACGTGCACATGTTTAACCTGACAAGCTGCAGGAAGGGAGTTTGCTTTGTTATTGTGAGCTGAGCATGATTGTGTTGTCTCTGTGTGTGTGAAGTTGTACGTGAGCGGACATCTAGTGTTTCTGCCAGTGCAGTCATCTCTCCTCTCCTGTGGTCCTTCCAGAACTCTTCCAGAGTCTCCTCGGTGGCTGTATTCCCAGGGCCAGACGGAACAGGCTGAAGAGGTAAATTCATATTTACAAAACGCGTCAGCTTCACAGCTGCTAACTCAGCAGAAGTAGGAGAGTGCTGAGGCTGCACCAAGCCTCATACTCGACAGCATTCCCGGACCGGTCTCAGTGGCAGACGGTTGAAATTGTTGTAGCAAAGTTTAAATGTTTCCTCCCGGTGAGCTGAGGAACAGGCCTCGTGCAGCTTGTTCAGACTTTCCCCAGAAGCTGCAGTGGTGACCTCGTTATCTCCACCTCGCCTACAGCAGGAGGAAGTTATGCAGAGGAGTCAACATTTCCTCTTTTCCACCCTCTTCTGCTTCACTTCAGTGCAAATCACTATGAGCTCAGGAATGAGAAACTGGGTGGTGTTAGCACAGAGAACACCAGCCTGCGTCCTCACATGTCTGGAATGCCTCAGTTTGAAACGGCATCTGGGCTGGATGACAGAAACATGATTCATCATCCATCAAACGGTTCAGAGACTGTGCTTTAAAAATCAAAGCCACACCTGATTAATTTGGTCAGCGTTTCCGTTGAAGGTCTCGCCATGTGCAGCGACGCTCTGCTCCCAGTGCTCCCAGTGCTCCCAGTGCTCCCAGTGCTCCTGCTGCACTTGTTCTGTAAACATGTGGAGCTCCATCTGCAGTCAACACTGAATGGTCCAAACAGCCGGTCTGAAGGTTTCCTTTTGGAAAACAACCACATCTAAGCTAAAAGTCTGGATACATTTAATTAATGTGTTTAGTATTTTTCCACCACTTTTTTCTACATGTTTTATTTAAAAATTAGCTTATAAAATAAACCATGAACGCCATTCTGTGAAACACGAACAGTTCTGCACTCCTTGGCTCCTGATGAGCCGATGCTGACTCAGCTGCAAGCAGCCGTCGTTTGACAGAAACTTGTAGATGTTCTGCTGAATCGGGCTGAACTACAGGGTGTGTCTCCACAGAGCAGGCAGGGACAAGTTGGACAATATCCACCGTATGCAGAGGCCCTAGATTTTCTACTGATGGGCCGCCTGTGGGCACTTTCAGTTTGTGTAAAACAAATTAGAAATTCAACTTCCTTTTTTCCCCCAATGATTTATGGCGTTGCAGCTGTGTCACACTACAGATGTTCTGTGTCCTTGGTGCTCTGGTTGTGTGTTTCCACTGAGGTGCAGGACTTTGTGTTTACAGAGAACAAACTGTGGTGGGAGCAGAAGCCTAGTGGGACTCAGTGTTATCAGGAACTGAACCTGCGCTTTGCTGCTGTGCTCTGCTTTATAGGTTCTACGCTACATGGCGCTGAGGAACGGCAACGCTGCCAAACACCTGATGCTGCAGCGCGTTGGTGCTGCTAAACCTGGTAGCCATAGCAACGGGGGTGCCGGTGTCCTGCAGCTGGTGGTCCATCCAGTCCTCCGCCTGAGGACCATGGTGCTCATGTATGTCTGGTGAGTGTCCCAGCAAGGCCCGAGCCATCACTCCACCATCAGTCGCTGGTTCCACCACGTTCTGCACTGGTGCCACCTCCTCCT